ATAGAATATTGTTGTTTACGTTCCTAGCTTTTAGTGCGACGGCATCTCGCAGCTACCTTATTTATTAATTTTCAACAAAAAATACATAAGGAAATTTTTAAAAAAAAAAAAACTGGAAATTTTTATAACCGCTTGGCTAAACAAAACAAGATCTAGTACACTAATGGATGTTATACTAAAGAATTGGAATTTGACAAGAAATCTTTGGAATTGTGACTTTTTGTGCGATAATTTTTTAAAAAAATCAAGAATTTAAGGAAATTTTAAGATTTTTCGTGTGATTGACGATCACAACTCTTGGAGCCTCCAGCATATTTTTAACCCACTCCAATTTGGGTTGGGCTCACTCCGGAGCTGCTCCAGAGTATGCCACTCCATTAGCAACTCTATGCTGCACATAGTACGGTTATATTATATGTTGGATAAAAATAACAATAAAAAAAAATCTTTTGACACGTAAATCTGTCAATCAAAATTACAGAATTAACTACCAATCAAATCGTAAACAAACGATGAAATTCTGTCATGTATTCTTTACAAAAAATTCAATAATTCTCCTTTATAATCTTAAGCAGTAGTTGTGTCACGTGAACGTAAAATCGACAGCCGAAAAAAAAATTCAAAAAAAAACTTTCACTAAAAGAAATCTACAGTAAAAAAAACGCTTTTGCTTTTTTCTTTAACGTATTAAAATATTCCAAGTTCTGCCTTTCATACTGCTCTCGAAGTAATGGGATATTCAATTTAGGGAAAAAATAAAGCATTTAAAGAAATAAGCTTAATAAATCTCGATGAATTATTTCTTATTGCATACGCGGTTTAATTCAAGTGTAATTTCTTAGCAATTGACCCATAAAGACACCTTCAATGAGGTTTCAATGAAGATCAAATGTGGCAATGCTTCAAAGTATGGTGAAATCGAAAAAAATAGAGAAAAGCGTCCAACAAAGTACACCTTAAGTTGTTGACAGAGGTGATCTTTACAAGAAATTTACTGAAACAAAGGAATTCTTCATTTCAACGCGAAATCAAAATGAAGAGCAGGGTCAGATTATATAATGAATGGAAGAGTACGTACTTATTAAAAGTAATTAAATTGACAATTATTTAAATTCTAAACATAACGAAAATTTGAAATTTTCACAAAAGATCAAATTCCAAATGCTTAAGATAATATTGAGTCAACTATATTGTACGTACAAAATTTTTTTAGAAAAGGGAATGCAAAAGTCGTGCATAGGCAAATTTTGTGTAAATAATGCAAGCTTACTTTGTCGGGACATTTTTTTTCAACTTCTTTCAGTGAATGGTTGGTCATATGACCTGATTTCCTACATATTTAAAAATTAAGGTAAACTCTAGAAATGTAAATATAGATAATATCAAAGGTAATTTACCAGAATAGAAAAACAAGATTATTTTCTTCAATCCTTTCGACCCATCCAACACGGTCAACATCCTGTTCCCAATCTAAAGAATAAAATCTATCCTCTGAATGAACTGAGTCAGGATTTTCATAGAAGCTAACAACTCTGGTATTATCTTCTTGCGTTGGAGATCTAGGTTTAAATTCAGGTGCATATTGGAGTTCTTCGTCAGAGCTACTACTTTCTAAATAAAGCGATGTCATGCTTTTCTCTTTTTCCCTCAATAGCTTTTGAATTCTTGAACTCGATTTAATGCTAAGATTATCGGACTTTTTGTTCGTTGATGAAAATGCAGTATATCTCGTTCGTTTTCTCAATGCCCGTCGGGTCTTTGATGAATTTGTTTCACCATTCTTACAATCCCAATATTCTTTAACTAATTTCGTAGCATGCCTATTAAAAATATTAATTGATCATATGAGAATACATTATATTTAAACAATAAGATATTTAAAGATGACTTACACATCAGATGCATCAACCCAGCTGTTGTATTTCGCACCCCACCCTGCCCATTTAATAAGAAATTGTAACTTGCCCTTATAATAATTAAGGCATAAAAATAAGTGATTGAATAAAAAAAATTTAATTATAAGCAAATTGTAAAACAAGTACAAGTTTATTTGTCCTATGCCTTTCAATTCGTTCAACTTCATAAAAATCGCTAGACTCTTCATCGTCCGATGAGTCATTACTCGTTTCATTCATCACATGCAAACCATCTAATTAAATTTAATTTAAAATTAATAATAATAGCGATAGCCCATAAATTTTCATGGAAAAAAACAAAATTGTTTACCAAATTCACTAATAATATTCGACTGTTCATTTTCACTGAGATCATCGACTATGAAAGTATCCATCGAACTATCTGTTTCGTTGCCAATATCATCATGACTCGCT